GGGTCAAATCTTTTTTAAAATTTTTTGCTACTTGCCCATGTCAAGAAGAACGCCTGCCACCACCCTCATGTCATCAGGGTTCGATTCCTGAAGTCAAAGGTCTTAAAAAAAATTTTCCTGGGAGAAGCATTCAAACACTCTTCGATTTCTTGTTTGCAGATGAAAAATGTTGGCCTTAGAAAATTCTCCATGAACAATCTAGAGAATGAAAAACCCAAACATCGCCCATATTAATCAGCAGGTGACATTCATCCACTTAGCCCGTGGCAATAAGAGCAATTTTGTCCTCACCTTTCTTTTTTCGATAATAGCTGAAAAACCTGAAAATGTCTAGAAATTGTGCAAAAAATCGAGAAAAAAACGTCATTTTCGTCTTGAAAAATCGTTTAAAAAATGGCTAATTTCTCAGATTTTTAAGATTTTTGAAGGTTTTTTTTTGCAATTCAAAATTCTCGTTAAGAAGATTATGGTGTAAAAAATGTCATTTTTCTAAATACACTAGAATCTGTCTTAAACCCCCTAGTTTAGGTTGATTTCCTTTTCATATTTAAAATTGATTAAAAAAGTGATTTTTGGATTTTTCAATACCAAATTTCAACAATTTTGGGGCAATTTTCAATCAAATTGGGCTCAATTCGAACCAATTTCAGTTCAGGTAATTTTCAATTGAATGTTGACTCAAGAAACGCCCATCTCTCTCTCTCTTGGAAGGGATCTTACCTCCTTATAAAACACACTCAGCGTTCCAACGACAATAATCGCCGCCGACGCGAGTATATCTCCAATCAGCCGTCCCGTGAGCATTGGTTGTTTTGTATTTCGGGGTCTCTGTCTTATTATATCATCATCAACTGGCTCTACACCCAGAGATTGTGCCGGTGGACCGTCCATTATGATATTGATCCATAGAATTTGCATTGCATTCAGCGGATTGTCGAATTTGAACATTGTCGAAGCGGCAATGAGTGACAGAGCGGCGACGGATCTGCAAATTTGTAGTTTGTAGTTTGCCAAAAAGGTTTTTTCGACAGTAGTTTTGAAGTCCTAAACATTGTCTTCATTTTAAGCCAAAAACGACAAAAAACGCTCGAAAACTAACCGAGTTACAGCGCTTTGCGATTTTACTGAGGCTCAAACAACATTTGTAGTTTGTAGTCTATAAGCCTCAGTAAATTCTTCTAGGCGTCGTAACTTGGTCCATTTTCCTCGGATTTCGATGGGTTTTTGAGTAGTAATGGTTGAATTTTTTGTGCATTTTTGCCGGAATTTTTTCTTGCAATACTACAAACTACAAAATGTGCTAAGCCTCAGTAAAACCTTCAAAACGCTGTAACTCGGCTAGTTTTGAAGCTAGCCACGTCGTTTTTGACAAAAAAATTTTGGAAGTTTCTGTGTTTTTCAAATTTCGTTGAATTCCACTTTCCAGATTATCCAGATTTTTCTAATGTTCATTAATCGAATTCTGAAATTTTAGCACATTTTTGTAGTCGGAAATTCCAACGTTTCTGCTTAAAATCAATTTTAGGATCATTTTGCCGAAATCATGCACTACTACTATAGGATTAAAAAAACCATATTTCTATTTGGAATCTGAAAATCTTCGAAATTTCCGGATTTTCTAGCCAAAAACGACTTTTCTAGCTTCAAAACTAGCCAAGTTACAGCGCTTTGAAAGTTTTACTGAGGCTTAGCAAACTTTTTGTAGTTTGTAGTTTTGTGAGAAAATCCAGGAAACGAGGAACTACAAAATGCTAGCATTTCTAGCCAAAAAAACATTCGAAACGGAAGAAAATTTATCAAATTACGTCAGTTTGAACGTTTACTGAGGCCTAGCATGTTTTGTAGTTTGTAGTCTCTAAGCCTCAGTACAACTTCAACGTGCTGTAATTCAGTCAATTTTCGTCGGTTTTTGACGGTTTTTTTGGCTAGAAATGCTAGAAATTCCTAGTGAATTGTTTCGAATGAACTATTTTTTTTAAAAATCCCATATTCTAGCCTGAAATTGGCAAAAATGGACCGAAAGTTGATTTTCAGCCAAAGTATTGGAATACTGGAATTTGATTTTTTTTTGAATCTGAAAAAAATTGAAAATTCTGGAAATCAGATAACTTTTAAAATTTAAATACGATAAAATTGGGAAATTTTCTAGCCAAAAATGGCTCTTCTAGCTTCAAAACTAGCCAATGTACAGCACTTTTAAAAATTTACTGAGGCTTAGCAAACTTTTTGTAGTTTGTAGTCTACGGAAAATTATAGCATTCTAACATTTCGAAAACAGTCAAAAATTGACCGAATTACGACGTCTAGAAGAATTTACTGATGCTTAGACTACAAACTACAAACATTGTGCTAAGCCTCAGTGAAACTTCAAATCGCTGTAACTCGGTTAGTTTTGAAGCTAGAAAAGTCGTTTTTGGCTTAAAATAAAGGAAATTTTCAGCACTTACGTTGACAATTGAAATCTCACAAAATTGGTGATATTATGATAAATGGCTTTTCCCTCTTCTATGGCAGCAGTCATTGTAGAGAAGTCATCATCACAAAGTATCATATCAGCAGCCTCCTTGCACACATCCGTCCCACAAATGCCCATCGCCACGCCAATATCCGCTTTTTTGAGTGCCACAGCATCATTGACACCGTCTCCAGTCATTGCGACGACTTCACCCAGCGATTGGAGGGCCTTCACGATTTTCAGCTTGTGTCGGGGGGATGCTCGATAGAATACGGTGACTTGACGAATCACTAGTTCCAAGTCTTGATCTGTCATTTGATCTACCTGCTGACCAGATAGACACGAGTCGGAGGATGAGAGAATCCCCAAGGATTGGCCTGAAATTGAAAGGAAAATTAGATATTCCAAAAAAAATCCCAAAAAAGCTTCGGAGTCTACAGTAATCCTTGACCTACAGTAATCCTTGCTTACCTATACTCTGCGCGGTCTCCATGGCATCTCCAGTGATCAATTTCACATCCACTCCACTCGCTTTAACAATACTTATCGCGTCGGCAGCCCCCGGTCTCGGCGGATCCATCATTCCGATCATTCCAACGAACATCAGAGATTGCATACTTTCCCCGCGGGCCAGTCCAAGCACTCTGAGGCCTTTTAAGCCCAATTCTTTTCCAATTTCAAGAATGTGTTGACGGGAGTACTGATCACATGGTTTACGTTGATTGTCGGCCGAGTAGTACGTTCCACATTGGTCCAGGACACGGTCGAGGGCTCCTGGAGATATTTGGAAGGTTATGGGGGTATTCTAGGCATGTCTGAATACTGTAGAAACTAATTCCTTGCTAAAAATTGAAATTCTACAAAGTCGGTAAAATTTCTAGCCAAAAACGACGCTTTTAGCTTCAAAACTAGCTGAGTTACAGCGCTTTGAAGTTTTTACTGAGGCTTAGGAACTACAAACTACAAAATTTTCTAAGCCTCAGTAAAAAATTAAAGTGCTGTAATTCGGTTAGTTTTTCAGCTAGAAGAGTCATTTTTGGCTGGAAATAATGGAAATTTCAGCGTTTTTCAGATTTTCTTGAATCTTTACCGCTTCTAACTTTTTGAAAAAACAAAAATAAAAATCAGTTTTAGGACTGGGATCGAAATTTGAAAAACTCGATGATTGATTGATTTTTACCAATTTCAAGCTCTAAGAAGGGAAATTCCAGAATATCTAGTTAAAAGAATCATCAAAAACCGACAAAAATTGACCGAATTACAGCGATTTGAAAATTTTACTGAGGCTTAGAAACTACAAACTACAAAATGTGCTAAGCCTCAGTAAAACTTCAAGGAGCTGTAACTCGGTTCGTTTTTAAGCTAGAAGAATCGTTATTGGCTCAAAATGAAGACTATTCTTAGGGCTTTAAAACTACAGTAAGCCATAGAGTCCCATAGAGCATAATCCCTAAAATCCAAGAGACTTGGTATTCAGATTTTGAGAATTTAAACTCATATATTCACAGGACCCTTCAAATCTACAAAAATTCGCGTAGCTAAGCCAAGCTAAGCTAGCTTACAGTAGCCTACTCACCCTTTATAAAATAAACCGTCTGCCCCTGGGCATCGGCACACTGCACCCCCATCCATTTGGTATCCGAACTGAACGGCATCTCTCGCAACCTCTTATACTGCCCCCTGACGCCTTCCAACTGCGCCTTCTTCGCCAGAACCACAATCGCCCCTTCCGTCGGCTGTCCAATCAGTTTATCCTGCTCGATCGACGCATTATTGCACACAATTCCAGCTTCGATGATTCTAGCGAATTCCGGATGAGTCCACTGCTGGACCAGCTCTCCTTGGTACTGTACCGCCCCACCATCAGCCGAGTAGCCAATCCCCGTCACCTCTGCCACCTTTCCTTCTGGTGTTGCTATCGATTGTGCTGTCATTTCGTTCTTCGTCAGGGTGCCAGTTTTATCCGAACAGATTACGGTAACACATCCTAACGTCTCAACTGCCGGCATTTTTTTGACCACAGCTCGTCGTTTGGCCATTCTCATCACTCCGATCGCTAGGGTGACGGCTACAACGATCGGAAGACCTTCGGGAATTGCGGCAACGGCCAGGGAGACTCCAATTGTGAACATGTCGACGACATTTCGACCCTGGAAATCATTTTTATTAGTATTTCTTGAAATTTTGGACCCAAAAGTGAATTTGAGCAAAAAACTGGAATTTCAGACGGCGAAAAGAAGTTGACGATTTTAGGCTAGAAAATTTCAGAATTCATTGATTTTTCAAATTTTTTAGGTCAAAACGTTCTTCTAGAAGGTTGGACACTTTTTGTAGTTTGTAGTTTCGTAGGAAATCTTCACTACAAGTTTATCAAGAAAATTCCAGCATTTCCAGCCAAAAAACCGTCAAAAATGGGCAAAAATTGACCAAGTTACGACGCCCTAGAAGTTTTACTGAGGCTTAGAACACAAACTACAAAATCGTCTAAGCCTCAGTAAAAACTTTAAAGTGCTGTAATTCGGTTAGTTTTGAAGCTAAAAGCGTCGTTTTTGGCTAGAAATTTTACCGACTTTGTAGAATTTCAATTTTTACTCGGCTAATTTTCAAACGTTTTTGATGCTCGTTTGCCTTAAAATATTTCAAATTTCTGTAGTTTGTAGTTTGGCTTTTTTTTAAAGTTTTAACTGAGGCTTAGACTACAAACTACAAAAACTTCTAAGCCTCAGTAAAACCTTAAAATCCCTCTATCTCAGTCAATTTTCAACCGTTTTCGCTCGCTTTTCTTCCTATCTGTCTGTCTGTCCGTCCAGATGTCCTACCTGAAACATTCCAATCAAAAAGATGACAGCAATCACGCCAAACGAGTAGATCGACAACTGCTTCCCCAAATCGTCCATACTTTTCTGAAGTGGCGTCTTCGGCGACTCCTCTCCCATCATCATTTTCACCACTTCGCCGAACTGCGAGTTGGCGGCCGTCGAAATGACGATTCCTCGGCCACGGCCAGCGCACACTAGGGTTCCCATGAAGGCAATGCATGTCAGGTGTTCGACGTCGGATCCCGTGCCAAGGGTCGCTTGTGGTACGGCTCGCGTTTCCTGTGAGCAGACCATCGATTATCGATTTTTCGGGTTATTTCAAACGGGGATTACGGTAGTTCTCAAATCTAGCAGTCTCTGGATTTTTCGGTCGTTTTTTGAGTTTCTTTAACATTGATTTTTCGGGTTTTTCAGTCAACGGTTATTTTGGGTCATTTCAAACATTGATTACGGTATTTTTGAAATCTAGTAGCAGCAGCATCTTGGGGGGTTGTTTAGGCGTTAAGAATATTCCTGAAACTTTTTTTTAATGGAAAATCGTCTTTTTAGTCAATTTTTAGTCAATTTTGCCGCATTTCCGGTTAAAAACGGCTCATAAAAAAGGCTGAAAATCGTCAAAAAAAGTGACAAAATTGATTTTTTATCCGATTTTTTCGGCAAAATTTTCAGACATTTTTCGGGTTTTCAGCTATTTTTGAAGTATTCTTTTCCGATTTTTCCAGGTAATTTTGTGTCTGAAAATTGATGGGATGGTGTTTAGATTACTGTAGAAGCCATTTTCGTTTTGTAGTTTTTTCGTCAAAATGTGGATAAAAATCGTTGACAAAAGAAAACTGCAAACTGTGAGATTTTCTACAGTAATCTACAGTAATCTTCAGAACACTGTTCCATCAAATTTGGGACAAACAAATGCGGAAAAATCGAAAAAGAATCTAAAAATTTTGCACAAAAATCTGAGAAAAAATCAGCTTTTGATGTCGAAAATTCGTCAAAAAAATCAAAGTTTTTTTACCTGAAATATGAAAAAAAAGAAAAATCGATTATCGATTTTTTGGGTTTTCAGTCAATTTTGGGTTATTTTGGGTTATTTTAAACGGGGATTACGCTAGTTTTGGAGTCTAGCAGCATCTGAGGGGTTGTCTGGGTCACTGAGCGTATTCTAGTAAATTGAATACCATCAGAAATTATATTAACAAATCGATTATCGATTTTTCCGGGTTTGCAGTCATTATCGGGTTATTTTGGACTATTTTAAACAGGGATTACGATCGTTTTAGAATCTAGAAGTCTCTAGGGGATGTCTGGGTAGTTTAGACCCTGCACTCTATACGAAAAAGCGCTAAAAATCGCTTAAAATGGCCGGAATGTTGTAGATTTTCCGGTTTTCAGTCAATCTTGAGATGTTTTATCGATTTTTCTTTGGTTTTACCGCAACTTTGTGTTATTTCGAAATGTCTGCAACGGGGATTACGGTACTTTATGAATCTAACAGCCTCTGGGGGTTGTTTAAGTCGTTCAGTGCGCTAATATCGCTCTAAAATGAGCTGAATACCTTATGCTTCGGCTCGGTCTCCCCTGTCAACGAGCTCTCATCAATCTGCAGCGAAAAACTCTCGGCAATCCGCAAGTCCGACGGTATCCGATCTCCAGTATTCAGAAGAACAACGTCTCCAGGTACCAACTCCCGTGCCAACATCATAGCCTCCTTGCCGTCCCTCAGCACATGACACGTGGGTGGCACCAGCTTCGTCAGTTGCTCCAACGTCTTCTCGGATCGATATTCCTGCACAAAGCCTACAGTAACCACAATAACCACTGCCACCGTAATCGATATCGCATCATCGTACTGTTTCATGACGATGGAAACGAATGCAGAAGCCAATAAGAGCAGAATCAGCGGATTTTGGAATTGTTCCAGATACTTCTTATAGATCGGCTCCTCCTCGCCGACGTCAAACTCGTTGTATCCGTGATATTGACGTCTTCTGGTGGCTTCTGCCGTCGTTAGTCCTTCTTCTAGATTCGTACGAAGCTGATGGGTGCATGGGACGACTTCATGGGAGGCCGCTTGTTCGGATGTCAGCGTTTCAATCATTATATCGTCTTTGAGAGATTTCTTTCGATTGATTATTGATATGTGATTCGTGGAGACTTCGGCTTTCACCAGCGGAGTCGACGGTTGCTGGAAACGATCGAATTTCAAGGGTTTTAAGATTCGTTTGAATGATTTTTATCATTACCGTAAAACCTGTAATAGAAGGGCCCCCCCTAATTTTCACCTTTGAGCCAATTTATCTCATTTCCTGATAAAGATATGAAAAATTTGTTAACTGATAAATTGTTTATCATGTTTGCCTACAGATTTTATCAGTTGACACATTTTTGATATCTCTTATAGGAAATGAGATAATTGAGCTCAAACTTGACAGTGTGGGGGGGCCCTTCTATTACAGGTTTTACGGTATTTGGAATTTCAGAGGTTTTCAGTGGTAAAATTGGCTGAAAATATGGTCAACTTTGAAGCCTGTTTGTTTCAGCCTAGTTTTTGCAAAAGTGGGCGGAGCCTAAATTTCTACGCACGGCTGAAAATCAACTATTGGGTCTGAAATTACAAGTAAATTTGCAATTTCTAGTTAGTTTTTCATTAAATTAGTTTGATGGAATTCAGGCTCCGCCCACATTTATCCAAAAACTGCAAAAATTCTGATTTTTCGAAATTTTTTCCAAAAATTTGTGTAGTTTGTAGTTGATGTAGTCTCGTCTTGTCAAAATTCTTCAAACTTGATAAAATTTCCAAAAAGCTGAAATTCTCCTTTTTTTCGAAATTCCAAAATTGAATTTTTAAAAACATTTTGTAGTTTGTAGCCTTTGTAGTTTTTGTAGTCTCTTCTAGCCGAAATTTTCAGAATCAATCTAATTTTTTTGCGAACGAATTTTCAGCGTCATTTTTCTTTTAGAAATTCCAAAATTGATTTTTTTTTGAATTTTGTAGTTTGTAGCCTTTGTAGTCTCTTCTAGTCTACTCACATGAACTCCTGAATTATTGACTGCTACTGGTACTGTAGCTACCGTATTCCCTTGCACACGAAAGATGGCCGCTGTCGCTTGTGGCGCCTCTTTGTCGTGCTGCAAAAAATTGTAGTTTGTAGTTTGTAGTTTGTAGTCCGAGACTACAAAAACCACAAAAATACCTTCCCCGAGCCACCGTTTGCCACCGCCGTTGAGCCATTCATCCCAAGTTTTTTTCGGATTTTCAGTTTTTTTTTTGAATTTTCTAGAAATTTTAAATTTTCGAAATTTTCAGATTTTCAGCATTTTCAGACAAACAAACGTAGGATTTTTGAAAATTGAAAACGTTGCAAATGTAGAGAAAAAACGCATACAGAAAGAGATTTCAAAAGCGGAGAGTGAGAGAGAGAGATGAGAGAGTGTGGGAGAGTGAGAGACGCAGAGAGAGAGAGAGAAAACAAAAAGGAAATATAGAATTGTCTCATAAAAATGGCAACAAAACGGAAGAAATATTTTTTTTTCGAAAAATGGACTAGAATAGCATCTGAAAATGGTTTTTTTTTCGAAAAAAAATTTTTTTTTGGGATTTTCAGAAAATCTGAAATTTTCGAAATTTCGAAAATTCAGAAACCTAGGAAATTTGGGATTATTTGGGACATCTGTAATTCTGGAATATAATTATATGAATCTACCAAAATACCAACAACAAAAAAAGTCAGAATTTCAGATTACGAGAAATTTAGATTTCCAGATTTTCAGAATCATAAATTTCCAAACAATTCGATTTTTGGCTTTCCAGATAAATTCCTGGAATTTCATATCTAGATTTCTAGGATTTCAGAATTTCCAGATTTTTGAATTTCCAGATATCCTAAATTCCGGGAACTTCGTATATCTAGATTTCTAGAATTCTAGAGTTCTAGAATTTAGGATTTTCGTATGTCCAGAATTATAAGTCTCCAAAAAGTTAGAATTTCATATTTCCAGATTTTCAGAATCATAGATTACCGGATTTTCCAAAAAGCAGATTTTCCGTATTCCTAATTTTCGAATTTCCTGGAATTCCAAAAAGCTAGATTTCCAGAAAATCAGATTTCTAGATTTTAAGGATTTTCCAATATCTGGAATCCTAGATTTTCAGATTTTCTGAATTTCAAAATTTTAGTTTTACTAAAAATTAGATTTCCGAATTTCCAAGATTTTCCAATTATCAGAAATTTAAATTTCCAGGTTTTTTGATTTTCGAAAAATGAGAACTCTTCAATTTCAAGAACTTCTAAATTCCTAGAATTCCAGATATCTAGATTTTCGGAATTTCAGATTTCCAGATTTTATATATTTCCAGAATCATAGGTTTCCAGATTTTCAGAATCGAAGATTTCGGAAAAAGAGAGGATTCTCTGATTTCCGGATGTCCCGTTTTTTCAGTTTTATACATACTTGCGGACGGGCCCAAAGCGGGCCGTGACGGGCCCTGTCGTAGTTTCTTTTAGGATTGAAATTTTTTGACCAACTAAATTAGATATGGTAGAACTCGAGGAGCACTACAAAATTATAGTATTTAGGACACTGTATCATGTTTGTGAACAAAGTTACAGACCAAATGGGTCAAAAAAACCGGCCCGGCCCGCATTTGCAGCTTTTTGGCTTGTAACTTTGTTCACAAACATGATACAGTGTCCCAAATACAATCATTTTGTAGTGCTCGTCGAGTTCTACCATATCTAATTTAGTTGGTAAAAAAATATCAATCCTAAAAGAAATTATGACAGGGCCCGCCACGGCTCGCTTTGGGCCCGTCCGCAAGTATGGTTTTATAGGTTTCCAGACTTTCCGAATTTCGGGAATTTCAGGTGTCTGCTAGCTTTTTCAGAACTTCGTAGATTTTCTAGAAATGTGAATGTCAAGATTTTCCGATTTTCGGATTTTAGAATTTTCAAAATTTCCATACTCCTCGAAATCCGGATTGCTAGATTTTTGAAGGATTTCATCTTTTAGAATTTTTTAGAAATCCACATATTTCTAAAATTCCTAGATTTCTAGGGTTCAGAACTTAAAGGTGGTGTGCGGTGAGAAATTTTATTGCTTTATTTTGTGTAGAATTCAATGTAGATTCACATAAAAATAAAGAAAAAATTCGAAAAAAATTCCTTCATTGAGAAAAACGGCATCGAAAAGTCAAAGTGGGAACTGGTGGCCTAGCGGCCAGGTGTGAGTTTTCCAGGCCAACTGCCGGTAAAAGCGCGC